GACATCCCTGCCGTGCACAGACACCCAGGGTGGAAGGGATGGGGTGTCTGGCATCAGCTTCCCGCTGCCGCCCAGGAGCCCCCCAAGCACACTGACAGAGCTGCAGAGAGCAGCTCTGCCACCAGGCTCCCAGATGGGGCAGGACTGTCCCAGGACAGAGCAGGAAGTGTCTGGAGCTGCACCGAGCCAGCCTGAGCATGGACTCAGGGCTGTTCGAGGGGGATTTGGAGGGGGCTAAGCTAGCCTTAAGCTGCCCAGCACAACCGTGCTGCAGTGCCTGTGTGCCCTCTGCCCAGACCCCAGCAAGGCACCCCAGGTTCTCACATCCAGCCGCAACGTCCACCTGCAGGTCCCTCCCAGCCCAGAGGTCCTCACCGGTTCTGCACCATGTTCATCACCATCCAGTCGGAGGGGTACACCATCTTGCCAATCAGGTCCTTGAAGAGGATGAAGGTCTCCATGAGGAAGTCCTGCCGGGAAGGAGGAGATGTCAGGAGCTGGGCTTGACCACGATGCCCTCCCAGGGCGATGCTGTGCTGAGCACCGGGGCTGGGAGCAACCCTCGCCACCCAACAGTGAGAGCTTCACCTCTATAGAGCGGGGATGTGGGCTGTGCCGGGGTCCAGGGCAGGTGGCACCAGTGCCAAGTGCCCAGGTGCAGGCAGGGCGCTGGGACCAGTGGGATGCCCCAGCCGAGACATGGGGTGGAGAGGCAGGGAGGTGTCAGTGATGGAGGGCCAGGGTCTCATTGCACAGGGCAGCACTCACCATCAACTCGGGCCGGGAGGGGAACGCCTTGATGTAGGAGCTGTAGAGGTCCTTGTCCATCTGGCTCAGGATGGCAGCCATGCAGGCCACATAGTGACTCTGGGGGAGAGGGGCTGGTCAGGCACTGCCAAGGCCCTGCAGCTAGCACCATGGGGTGCCCTGGGGTCGAGGGGGCCCCCGCACACCCATCCGTGTTCCTCCAGCAGGGCTGTGCCCCGGAGCCCCAGCTGCCCTGGGGGCCCCCCTCCCTCCGCCTGCTGTAGCACCCTCCTCCCCAGATCTCCAGACCTCTCCTCCTGCCCCACTCAGCCCCGGCTCCTGCAGCCAGCCCTTCCTCTCCTGGTCCCATGCATCCCATTCCGAGGGTGGGACAGCTCTGACACCTGCCATGACTCTGGGGAGGACACAGACGTAACTATATAGCATATTTGCTGTAGCATATATCCGTAATTTTTAAGGTAGTTTAAGGCAATACGTGCATGTAAGTGCATTTTGAAAATGGCAAGCAGCTTCTTTCTGGAGGCCGATGTGTCTAGACTGCCTCTAGCGAAGGGTCCCAGATTGAGCCATTAACTCCACTCCTGTACTGGGTGCTCACAGCGTTGTTGTGAGACGAGCAGCGCGGCGATGGCGCAGGCTGACCAGGATGCCTGTCTCTGCACAGTGAGAAAGGTGGTACCCGATCTCCAAATTGCGCTCAGCTGCATTGCTCGTGGAACGAGAGGCACGGGTGGTAGGGTGCAACACCCACCTGCTGCTCACCACAGTGTTCCATCTTCCATTTAGCTAATTAATGCAACATTTCCTGACAATACTTCTAACATAGATGAGTCTGCAATAGACTTGCTCTTGGGACAAAGCTACAGGAAACTCCCTGGGGAACTGAGCAGCAACTGAAGCCCAAAAGCCAATGGGGTCAGGGCTCTGGGTTACTGAACATGGGTGTTGCTCAATTGCCAGGATCCTCCTGAGCTCTGCTCATTCGGATGGTGGCCAGCTGCAGCACTGAGCTCAGAGAGATGCCTTAAAGCATTACTTCCCCGAAGGATGGCTGCCGCCGCCCCCTGGGGGGGGGGGGGCCAGTTTGCAAGGAGACACCACCACAGCCCACGCCCAGGTGTGTGGAAAGCAGCTCCAAGCCCTCGTGTGACATTTTAGGAGTCTGTATCCCAGGAGTTGCCCCACACCCAAAGTCACCCGGGGATGCAGCAGCCCTGGTCCAGCCCCTGCAGCACAGCAGCAGAGTCAGCATGTGGAAAAGCTGGCTGCTCTCAGCATCAACCACTGTTGCAAGGGTGCTGTCACCCCGCACACCACCACCAGAGCCGTACATGCCAGGGAACATACAAACCAACCCAACCACCCTTGGAAGTGCCATGGTGTGCTGGGGACGGGCAGAGCCTGGAGTCAGTCAGGTCACTCCAGCGCAGTGGGAAGCCTGGCACTGCCGGGGCTGAGGGGGGGCGAACGTTTGGCCATGAGAGTGCCTGACGCTTTCTGTTATTAAAGACCCAGTTTTCAGCGGTGTCCAGCGTAGCCCATGTGTGACTGCTCAGTCGGAAAGCTGTCCTTGGGGTGCACCCAGGGCTGGAAATTGCAGGAAAAGGGTGGCTATTTCTGGGGGTAAGAACATCGTCTGGCAGGCTCAGGAGGAGTGAAGGCCCTGCCATGTCCCAGTGTCACCGACAGAGCTTTGTGGGTGGCTTCAGGTGCTAACCCTTCCCCGGAGCCTGCTGTGCTGTGAGCGGTGCAAGGGCACCACTGGGTGCTGAGCACCACTGGCCATCCCAGGTGTGCAGGAGAAGCCCCAGCAGCACTGCACGAAGGCATGGGGCATTGCAGGCCCCTTCCAGCCCTGGCAGGTCAGCCGCTGCCAGAGTTTCCTCCTGGCTCATTCCACTGGTTCTGGCAGTCCCTTGCTCCGTGGCAGAGATGGAGCCCCGTCGCAGCCCCAGGCCAGCCCTTGCCAGCTGCATGGAGCAGCCAGTGGAGGGGGCGTTTCAGAGGCCAAAGGGGACAGCCCAGGGCCACTCGGCTGCTGCCTGCAACCAAGGACCCTGGGTTCACCCCACCGGCTGCTGGGCAGCCCTGGCAGCAGGGCTGGAGAAGCTTCTTGGGAAGGGCTGCAGCATGTGGCAGGAGATCGCTGCAGGGAAGCACTGTGCCCCACGGCCAGCCCTGGCTGCCGTCCAGGGTGAGGGCAGGTTTGCAGGAAATTATCTTGTGAGAAGCAAATTAATAAAAACCCAACAGATCCCAGTCCTTTTAGCATCAAAGTGAAGCCACGGACCTGAGGCTTCCCTACTGAACACTGGCACACAGCAGGACTGGCAGCGCCTGCACGCAGGGAGGCCATGCAGGCATGCCTCAGAGATCCTGCGGAGACACCCAGGTCACTGGCTGCGGGTGGCTGCCTGCACGAGTCTGAGCGAGTACAACTTGCCCGCAAAGCTGGAGGCAAGTCCCTCCTCACCATGCAGCATGGCCGGCTCCCAGGACTCAGCTCGGGAGCAGGGGATGCCCTGCCTGCAAGGCAGCAAGCACTAAGCGCTGGCAAAGTGGGGAAAGTGCCACAAATTCACCCATGTTCCCTAAATGACTGGGTGTGCAATGCCACAGAGCCCTGGTCTCGGGAGAGACCCCATGGTGGGAGCTGGGGTTGCCTTCCCCACTGTCAGAGCCCGGCTGTGCAGCTGCGCTGCTCACCAGGGTGGAGCAGGAGCAGCCTGAGCCTTTGCTGAGGTTCTGGGGGGCCATTTGTCATATACCAGCCAGTGGTGCACGTCACCCACCATGACTGCAGAGAGAAGCACTGCGCGACCAGCACAGCCCCATGGGGAACGCAGGGCAAGGCAGGAAGGCGACGGGAGGAAACTTTTGCGGCAAGCCAGTCTGTTCTGGGGATCTGATGAGATTAGTTCAGTCATCTGGAAACAGCTGTTCTGGTGGCTGCTGGAATTAGATTCAGGTGAACTCCCTGCACCGCCTGCTACACCTTCTTCAAGGGAAACTGTATTTACATTTAAATTACATTACTGGGAGCCACGCAGCCAGGCACTGCCACACATATGGATGTGGTTTGTCCTGTGGATGGCGTGTGCATGGGGATCAAGCCCAGGGGTAGCCCAGCACAACATATGGCCCCCAAGCCTGCTGGGTGGTCACAGGCACAAACATGCCCAGACAGCCCCCGGCCAAGCCACAGTCCCACCACCCAGCACTGCCAGCACCAGCTGCTGCAGCCCCAGCATGGCCGGGACACTAGGCACACGGCAGGGCCGCGGGTAGGACAGGCTAAAAGCTGGAGAAGAGGGTCTGTGGTCTTTTTTCCTGCCTGCTGCTCTCCAGCTCGGGGACCTGTCACAGTCCCTGCCCGCTGCTGTGGTGTGGCTCCTGCCACCCCGCAGCCCTGCCTGGTGCAAAGGCCACCTTCCCCAGGTGCCCACGGGCGCACTGCCTGCTGCTGCGTTCCCAGCCCCGGGGTGGGCATGGGCCTTTCCCGGCCCCGTGCAAGCTGCTCCTGAGCCCAGTGGCGCTGCTGGGCTGGGGCAGGCTGGGGGATCGCGGGGGGACAGGCGCTGT